GGAGGGGGGCGGGGGAGGGGAGGGAAGGATAGGTCATGTTTTGAGGTTGAGCCCATCCATTTCATTTGTTATTGTAAATCTAAAATTGTTCTCAGGTATCTGAACCAAGATTTAATGGGTCAGCTACTCAGATTTTCTTCACAATTTCTGCATGAAGTGATTCAAATATCCCCGCTCTCCACCAAGGTCTGATGTAGAATTCTATGATCTTGTGTTCATTTTCACCCCATGCTGCAAAAATGGTGGGCTAATCTTCAACTCTTCTATTAACCGTTGCTGTCTTGTCTAAGACGGTCAGCTATTTTATTTACTGTAATTGAAAACAATCTGCCTGCCTTCCTGATGTTTATTACTGGATCTGATGCAGATTTTTGTTCAGTTTAAGTTATTCCCGTACTCAAAACCAATAATTCATAATATGAAATGTGCATCTTCTTCTAGAATGTCTTTTTCTTGGTTAGCTTACTTGAGGTGAGTAGATGTGAAAAGAAGAAATAGACAGAGGATGTAATGCAATGAAGGTCATTTTTCCTGCTCTTGTGCCTGGTAATGGGTGAATTTGGACTGCAGCCTGGAAGGTGGTCTTCAGTTAAGTATGGAGATCAGCTGATGTGTAAAGGAGACTTGGAGAGAAAAACATGTTGCTGAGTGGAAGAATATTCACATGTAGTAGAAGAAAGAAATTATATATCAAGTAAAATGTATTTTTTTTTTTAAATTAGTAATCTGTTCTTAGCATTTAAACGTCCACATTAAGAATTTACTACTGGAAATATAAAAATTCTTTTTTATGTATGTACTACAGATTTTACAGATCAGAATACAGGAGGTAAGCTCTCTCCAAAAATACAGTATGGTATATTGAGTCTATTTTTCACATTCAATTCCATAACAGTTGTGAAACAGGATATGGTTTTAGTATAAACTCTAATGCTGTGGAAAACTCTTCTGTGATATATACATATATATTTTAAAACCTTAAGTGATCACTGTTTGGACTTCTGAGCATGTTCTGACAACCCATTTTTTCGTAATCATCTTCTGCACAGGAGTATACAACTTCTGATGAATCTGATATTTTTCGATCGAGATACTTATTACTGTAGTACATGTTGACAGGAGGGCAGCTGTGCTCAGATAGCCTGACCAGCAGATGTATTCTAAGAAGTTTGCAGTAACGTTCTTTCCGTGTTATAAATAAAAATAACTCAGTGTTTATATCATAGTGATGCTTAAGGTTCATCTTTTCTAATTCTTCATATAAATATTGCTTTTTCAGTTAAAGGAATGATGTTGCAGTCCTGGGAACATTAATGAGATAAATTGCTTGTGCTTGTAAGTGGCTTTGGCTGATAATCCTCCAGAAACATATTTTTAAATAATTTTTATTGTAACTGTTGTGATCCTAAGACAAGGCTTACTGCAATTTTTAGCAGGATAAACAGAGGAGTATCAAAAGTAGAGCGAAATGAATTGTATAAGGCATTGATGGACCCTGTTGAAAATGATTCAGTGAAAAGCCCTAAAAATAGTGACAGTGGAAAAATGGATCACCGGTGTGTGTTTAGAATCTATTTTAGGCTAATTTATTCAAGTAAGAAATCACAATATTATGCAGCTGAACCTCAGAAGATTTTTTTGAAAGGACTGTGTTGATCATGGAGGAGTATGCAAAATAATAACATACTTGCGTGGAGATGATTAGATGCTACTTTAAAGCTTTGTCTATTGCTTATGCCTCAAATACAAAACCAGTATTTCTGTTCTATGAAAGACTAAACTACAGCACAAGGTAAAGTAACTTGAATCTTTTTTCTTTTTCTTAGAATCACTATGTGAAGGTGCTATACAATTTTTCTTGCCTTCTGTTTTTGTCCTAGACAGGCCTGCGTACGTGTTTAAATTAGTAGCCTTCATTTAAAAGGAGGCTTGATGGCTAGCATTAACAAGAATGCGTAATTGGAAAGCATAGTAAAAGTATTTATGGCCAGACTTCTTTTCCAGATGCGTTACTCTGTGAGAATTATCTAAATCAAAGTACGTTAAGAGGTATTTACATCTCAGTGTTGACTGAAACAGAGTAAAATCCATTGTTAATGTGGCTATGTCTCCAGTTCTCAGCTTACTGAAATAAATGCAAAATTTACCTTAAAAGTTTGCAAATTATTTCAATAAATATCTCAAGCTTTTAATTTGGACTAAAATATTTTTTTTCCAAACTACATGTGATATGATATGTGGAATACAGTCTGACTTATAAAGGGGTATAAGGAGATAACTATAATTTCAGGTACAGGAGAATTTGATTTTCTCTTTTTGTGTATGAGTTCACTAAATTAAAAGCTACCTGAAGCATCACCAATGAAGAATCAATACAGTATGAGTATAGCTTAAGACTGCTGTAGATGTGCTCACAATAAGTATGGAAATGCTTCTGGTTAAACAAAAAAAGTATTCTTCCCCATGTTCTTGGTCCTGTATTAGTGTCTGTTAGCGCTCTAACCCATTTTATTAATCTCCCTTGGTTTTTTTT